TGTGTGCCCTCCACGCCACTGCTGCAGGCGCCTTTCCAGATCCCTGCCTGCGCAGCCTCAGCTCCCCATTGCTGTCCCTGTACTCGAACTCCCGAGCTGATGCAGAGGGCCTTCCTGGGCTGCTGCCCGCCCTCATGCTGGGTCCTCCTTCACTTACCTTGTTCCCACCAGCTGGACCGAACACGACTCAGCGCACGCATGTCCTTCTGTCCCCATGCCGTTCGGTCATCTGGCCAACTCCCTGTTCCGCCCAGCTGCATCACCTCCGCTTTCATCCCCGCTGCCGGCCCAACCCATCCACTTAGCTCAGCAACTCGGGGACTAAGGGATCTCACAGGTCTATACAATTTCAAAAAGAATTTTGGGGACCCAGTAAGATTACCTACTTTTAATTTTGCTAAGTACATGAAATTAAACAACTAAGTAAAAAATAGGTATTGCTGGTTAATTACCATCGTCATTATTTCATGAAAGAGAGGATGAAACAAGGGCATGAGTTCGGCATACAGGACACTCAGGCAACCTTCCCCATGCAGGCACCCGCATGGCCCTGTTTCTCCTTGTCTGCAGACCACCCCCAAGGCTGTTGGGACTCAACAGGCTGTTACTTGTATCTCCTCAGGAGACTGTCAGCTTCTCAGTGAGGTTTTTGGTGTTTTGATTTCCTTTTTTTCTTGAATGGTGGAGTAGAGATTGACTTTCTGGTTGGTGGTTTACAGGCAGTGACAGAAGGTGTGAGGTTGAGGGAGGGAGGGAGGGAGTGTGAGCAGAGTGGAAGGCGCGCATGTGTGTGTGTATGTGTGTCTGTCTGTCTGTCTGTCTCTCCCTCACCCTGCCCCCACTGTGAGGTCTGGCTTTGGGGCTCCTCCCTCATCTCTCTGCCTCCCTCTGGCCTGCCTGGTTTTTCTTTCTCCTCTTTTCATTCTCAGCACGTCCCTGTATGTCCTCTCTGTGTGCCAATCTTGAGCCCTGCCCAGTAGCCTGTATCTTAACTTCTCATAATATACCACTTACACACCTTTTGGAAAATGTTCTCTGTTCTTTTTCCGCCTAATTTACTGGGATGTAACTGACCCATGGCACTTCAGTGGCTGCAGGTGTGTGCCACATGGCGATCTGATTGACGTACGGACTGTGAAACGACTGCCATTGGCCCCAGTTTTCTTTCTTGTGCTGAGAACTTTCACGGTCGACTCCTAGCGACTCTCAAACGTATAACGCAGTGTTATTAACTAGACACCACGCCATACTTTACGTCCCAGAAGTTACTGTGTTCTCTGTTCTTACTTTTGAGACTTGGGTCAGTTTTTATTTTTTATTTATTGTTTTCCTCATCTGAGAATGTTTTTTTTTCTCGCTTTTAGAGAGGAAGGTGGGGAGAGATAGAGGTAGAGATGACAGATAGATGGATGAAGAGAAACATCGATTGGCTGTCTTCTCACCTGTGCCCCGACAGGTGATGATCGTACCTGCAACCGGGGCATGTGCCCTGACCAGGAGTCCAACCCACGCCCTTTCAGTCTATGGGATGATACAGTGAGCTAAGCCATACCAGCCAGGACCGGGTAGATTTTTAAACAAACATTATTGTGTACCAGGCCAGTGCAAGGTCCTTTCAGTGTGTGACCTGGATTGTCTGTGCAGGAGGAAGCCACCCCCTTGCTTAGAAATGAGGAAACGAAGTCTAAGAAAGAGGTTCAGCCCTTGACTGAGGTTTCACATCTGGTGTGAGGAAGCCTTGTTCACATTGGGTCTCTGCGTTTCAAAACCCAAGCAAGCAAACCCAAACCAATCTTCAAATTAATGGAAATAAGTTTCCTGTTTTAGAATCTTGTGTTAAAAAAACAAACAAACTGCAACTCACATATGGTCTTCTATTAATCTCATTTACAGTATGATCATTCAGTTTGTTATAAATATAAAAATTCCTTTTCTAACTTTAGAATTATTAGTGCAGGGAAACCACACAGTGGCAACCCCTGTTACTTTTCCAGTAGTATTCTTTCCCAAGTGGTTCCCCCTGATTGAAATTTTCAGCAAGATGCCAGATAAGATGGGTACAGGACTGAGTTTACAAAGACGAGTAGAACCCGGCCTCTGAATCTGAGAAGTGTTCAATCTAGAGATGATATTTAAAATAAAGGGAAAAAATTCATTCTTGGAGCCAGAAAGCTTTACATTTTTTTTCTCACAAAAAGTCTGGGCAAGCTAGCTAACCTCCCCTGCATCGGTTTCCTCATCTGTAAAGTGGGAATAATAATAGGACCTACCTCAGAGTATTGTGAACTGATTCAGTTAAAGTAGTGAAAATGGTGCCTGGCGCATAGTAAGTGCTCAATAAATGCTGGGCAACAACCACAGCAGCCGTAGTTTCGTTACCACTGTCGTCATCACCACCGCTGCCAGTCACCTCTTGGCACACAGGGTACTCACACGGGGCAGTGCCTGAGGGCTCCTTCCCCCCCCCACCAGCATGCTAACCGAAGTGCAGTGTAAGGAGAAACAGAGAGTACTGCCACCTGAACAGAAAAGGAGTGTGCGCCTTCATGTTACGACTTCCCGTGGCGGTTGTGAGGCCCGGTGTCGTTGTGAAGTGGGCAGCATTGCCGGCCTCCTCTGATGCTGTGAGGGCAAAACGAGGTGGTGAGGCGAGCGACCGGGAACTGGTGTGCAGAGGGCCTCCACATGTTGGTGCTAGAAATATTAGTAACATTAACAAAATGCTGATAAAACTACATTAGCTAATAAAATTAATTTCATTATTAATCTTACTTCCATTGAGTCCCAGTTTCTTCATCTAGAAAGTGGAAATGATTATTATTAATAAAGGTGCAAAAGTTGCCCCGTCTTCCACCCCAGGGGACAAAGTGGTCTGAATTAAGGGCCCCCATGGTTATCTAGGGAGATGTTTTTAAGGTCTTGTTACATAAGACTTAATTTTATTCTGATTAAAAAGCTTCTATTAATTTGGGGAGCTTTCCTGAGTTATTTGAGATGACACCAAAGTAAAATCCCTGCTTTACCCCTGGGAAACTGAGCCACCAAAGGTGAAACGCCCTTCTCTGGGCTGCCTGTCACACCGGGGTTCAGAGCTGACGGTGGAACTACATGGGTCTCCCTTTCTTCCTGAACTTCTCTTTGGGTCTGGGGACCCTTCTAAAAGCCCTAGTATCTGGGTCCCATCCCCAAGATTCTGAGGCTGTGGGTCAAGGGTGAGCCCTAAAAGGCCACAGACGATGCTGAGTTTAGGACTCAGCATCGATGCTGAGTTTAGTGGCTGGGTTTAGGACTTACTGGGCTGAACGACCATCTGTTCTCAGCCGTATTTACTGTTCAAGCTTTCACTCCCACAGCCCAGTGCCCTTCAGTCCCCTCCTGCTGCGAGTCCCCTCTGCTGGACTTGGCTGCAAGGAACACAGAGGGCTGAGAATAGGGACCCCTCCGTTTATTCTAGGTTGGTTTTGGGTACACTGCCTGTGTGACCTTGGATAAGTTGCTGTCCCTCTCTGGGTCTCTGTTCCCTCTTTGCACCATGGGAAGAGAGAGTGAACATGCTCTTTAGGTCCCCACCGCCACCGGTGCTGCCACGTGTGGTGTTCTCTCCAGGGGGTGGCCCGCTCCTGCGGGAAAGTCTCTCTGGGTTGGGAGCAGGGCTGCCTGTTCCTCCACCCCATTGCTAGTTATTTCATTCCAGGCTCACGGAGGCTCGACATTGTTGTGTAAACAGTTTCTGCGGTATTTTAACTTCTTCATGGTGAAGTGATAAACTGAAAAGAAAATACTTTAAAATCCAGAGCATTCTCTCTGTTGCCAGTCACAGTTTAGCCCCCAGTACCCTGGGTCCGTGTTTGCTGCTGAGCCCGGCCTTGGGCCTCACTCCCGCTTTGCTGGCCCTGCTCCCATGGAGGCTTCTGCAGAGACACTGTCCGCGGAGGGCAGGGCCTGGGGGGCACCGGGTCCCTTCCTTCTCGAGCCATGTGTCCTAAATCCACCCAGCAGATGAGAACTTGTTACATTAAGTACTTTTTATTGCAAAAAGGTGCCTAGAAGGAAATGTCAATGTTTGTTTTTATTTATTTTATTTTTAATTTTATTTCATTCTTTCCAGTTTTATTGAGAAAGACTTGACATCCATCACCATGTAAGTTTAAGGCATACGGCAGGACGCTTGATGTAACACACTGTGAAATGATTACAACAGGTTTAGCTGACAGCCTTCATCCCGTACAGATACAATAAAAAGAAAAGGAAGGAGAAAGGGAAATAGGAAAAAATTCCCCCGTGTGATGAGAGCTCCCAGGATTTATTCCCTTGACAACTTGCCCGTGTGTCACGCAGCAGTGTCAGCTGCTGTCACCTAATTAAACCGTGAGCAGTGCTCACGTCTGGTGCTGTGTGTCCTTCCCATGTTGTTCTTCCTGTGTGTGAATGTGCCTGTGGCGCACGATGTGACAGGAAACAGGGATGGAAATAGGTTTCTTTTAAAATTATGGATCTGACTATATGGCTTTTTTTCTTTTTCTTATTTTGCTTTTAATCCAAACCCAAGGTTATGATTTTATATATCTTTATTGATGCTAGAATTTTAGAGAGGGAGGAAGAGAGGGAGAGAGAGACGGATATGGGGGAACCATTGCTTGCTGCCTGGGCACCCCGACCGGGGACTGAACCTGTAACCCTCCTTCCTCTCTCTCGGTGGACGACGGGACAGTGCTCCAACCAGCTGGGCCACTTGGCCAGGGCTGGAGTTTTCTTGCCTTGCATTTTTCGTATAACATAGCATGTCCTCAACATTTTTCTAAAATATTTTTAAAAGCTATGCAATGTATGGCTATATCATAACTTATGTAGCTAGTCCCTTATGGTTGGATGTTTGGTTATTTCCAACACTGTGCTCTTTTAAATAATGTTGCGATGAACTTTGTTCTGCTTCTGCAGCCCATCAGATAGGACCTCAGGGTCTATGCATCACTAATAAAATCTATTTCTTCTATCCACAGAGCCCATGAGTTTTTCAACTGAGACCAAGGTGGAGGTGTCTCCCTCTGTGGAGGTAAGCTAATTAATGTTCTCGTGGGAGGGTCAGGGCAGCAGCACCTATTGGTCAGCATTATGGCCGGCGCCAGGCAGCCTTCAGTTCAGATCTCAGCTCTGCCACTTACTCCACAGGACACTTAGCTTGAGCCTCCAATTCAGTTCCTCTGAGCCCTTCCCTATGGACTCCTGGTATCATAATGGTCTGGAAAGAGGATTACCTCTGAAGCTGCTTAACAAATTCTCAAGTAATCCGATTTCCTACTTAACTGCTTCTCCTCCGTGGTTCTCAATTCCCAAATGCTAAGCTGGCTGGAGCTGGGCAGCACAGAGGAGTCCGGGGTTGGCAGAAGCAACTCCAGGGTGGATTCCAGGCCCTTGTGGCCGGAGAGCTCCCAACACAGGGCGTAGAGGCATCGATGCTGACCGAGAACCTGCCGAGGCACTGGGCTCTGAGCCTTTGCATTTGCCATCTCATTCGATTCTTACATTAACTGAGAATCTCAGTTACTTTCAGATTAAGAAATCTGTCCAAGGCCACATAGCTAGCAACTGGTGGCTCCAGGCTGCTAGCCTGCGATTTTCCCAGTAAGCAGTGGCACGTACGGCCTGGCACCAGGCCGTAGGACAACTTCCACTCCCTACGCAAGGTGTAGGTACAAATAATGCAAATAACAGTGCGCACGTTGAAAGTGACGAGTCAGACTGAAGAGGTTCATGACTGAGAGAAAGGAATGGCTCTGGCGAGCCAGGGGCCGCTGAGGGTGAGGGGTGGTGCCAGCGCTGAGTCCTGAGTGGTGGTGTGGTCTGCAGAGACAGGCTTACCTGACGAATGTCTCTTTTAGGCACTTACTCTTGGTAAAGATGATGAAAATACTCTCAATCATTCTGCAAATGCGACAAGCTTCCCGGGTAAGCACTGGATAGTTTTGTATTCCCGTGACCTAAGGGGCCTAAAAGGTTCATCTCTGCAGAAAGTGCTTTTTATTTGGAGATGTTGGGAGATGCCAGTCTGTTTAATGAAAAGCACCAATGGCAGAAATATTCTTTTATTACCATATATGCCCAATTTTGATATCATACTAAAGTATTATGAGAGGACCACAAGCATAATGAGACAGATCAGCAAACGATTTCACAATTGACTGGAATACAAATGAATGTGCCACAAACAAGGTGACTGGGGTCTGAAATGGGGCGCATGGGAAGGACAGTCTCTCTGTTCTGAGAGCCCCTGGTTTCAACGTTTCTGATTCCCTATACCTGCAACACCAGGCAAACTTACAAAATTTGCATAAAAAAAGACCACAGGCACCATGTTTGTTTTACTATTTGTTTGGGGCTCCTGGAGCCCAGGCTCTGCAGATTCAGTATTCAGGCAGTTGTCAGATGGCTGTTGGGCTTCCTGAGGGATCCCTGACGCGGGCTGCACGCTCTGTGGCAAAGCCCGACCTCAGGCAGTGCACCTAGGGCAGACCTGCCAAATCCCCTCGGGCTAAGCTTGGCCTGGCTGGGGACTCGAAGGGAATTGAACCCATTTCTGCTCTGCCAGAGTCTCTGACAAAGTAAACTGTAACTGAGCAGAGTGGGTTCCAGGCCAAAATGAGGCATAGATAAAGTTAATGAAATTTAGAGACTTGAGAGAGCATGTCCAGTTGGGAGAATCACAGAAAATTCAAGGAGGAGGTGCCATTTGAAATGCACCTTGAATGGTATGGGGGGGAAGGCAGGAGGGTAAGGCAGAAGTTCAAGGGTGACTGTGAAGGAGGGACCCTGCACCCACTCTCACTGGTGATCTCATCCAGCCCCTTGTATTTATTTTATTATTTTTTTAAATTTTATTTATTTAACTTTAGAGGGGAAGGGAAGGAGAGAGGGAGAGGAACATCAATGTATGGTTGCCTTTCGTGCGTCCCCTGCTGGGAACTGGCCTGCAACCCAGGCATGTGCCCTGACTGGGAATCCAACTGCGGCCCTTTGGTTCGCAGGCCCACACTCAATCCACTGAGCTACACCAGCCAGGGCCAGCCCCTTGTCTTTAAAAACAGCTGATGACCCCCAGATTTATACCTCCAACCCTGACCTTTCCACCAAGACCTGGGCTCATGTATCCACTGCCTCGCTGATGTGTCTGCTTGGACGCCTACCGGAAGCCTCAAACTTATGTCTGAAATGCTGGGTGCCTTGCTGCCTCTCCAACCCAAATCTGTTCTTCTCCATCCTCCTCATCTCAGTAACTGGCACCACATTCTTTGGGTTGCTCAGACCCTGGGGATCAGGCCTTTTTACTCCTTATCTCAGGTCCAGTTCCCTGGCAGACCCTGTTGGTTGGACCATGAGACATGCCTAGAAACTGGCCATCTCTCACTATCTCCACTGCCAATACCTGGTCCCGCCGGTGCCGTCCTTCATCCTGTGGAACCTTAGGAGCTGCCTGCTGGTCCACTGCAACAGTCTCTGCCAACCAGCGGCCAGAACAGCTTTTAAAACACAAACCCAAGCTCTCCTGGCTCATACCATCTTCCCCTGAGGAAAAGCCAAAGTCCTATCAAAGGCCATAGTCTCTACAGGGTCAGGCCTCCTCCATTCTCCTTCTCACTTGCTTTGCCCTCCTTGCTCTTCTGCACGTGATCTACTGCAGGGAGTAACAGTGAAAGGACTCCTGTGGTCCCTGCTTTCAGGGGGCTCAGACTGGAGGTAGAGCTGGAGAAGTAACCAGGATGGCACTTACCCAATTTGAAGTAGGGTCACAGCCCAAAGGAAGTGACCTCATCTCATCTGAGACCAAAAGGCCAAGTAGGGACAGGACAGAAGATGGGTAGTGAAGGTGGGAGGAGCATTGTGGGAGAGAGGTGTGCAGGGAGCCCTGGGAGGGGAGGGAACAGGGCATGTGGAAGAGTGAATGAAGTTCTTAGGGCTGGGGCTTGAGTACCAAGTGGGAAGGCAGGCAAGAGATGATGCCCTGTGGAGACCACTGGACCCAAATACTTGATTTAAAGCGCCTGAGCCTCCCTGACGGTGTCCTCAATGGAACTGCCATCAGTGAGGTCCCCCAAACTTTCTACTTCTTGCCCCTCTGTGCCTTGTGGGGACAGGCTGAATGCCACTAGAAAAGCCACTCTGAAAGTGAGTGGGAGTCTGTGGCTGGCCACGGGTCTCTGAAACTGTGAGCTTGAACTGTATATCTTGCCAAGTGACAGAATCCTGGGGTCTGTCAGAGTCTGCTGGGAGTCTGCTTTGGCCAGAAAACTGGCAAGTGGCCTACTGGTCAGCAGAGCTGTCTCCTCCTCTGGGAGTGAGGTTCCTTTGAGACTTTTTTAAAAAGATTGTATTTATTTATTTTTAGTGAGGGGAAGGGAGGGAGAAAGAGAGGGAGAGAAACATCAGTGTGTGGTTGCCTCTCATGCACCCCACTACTGGGGACCTGGCCTGAAACCCAGGCATCAACTAAGGACCCTTTGGTTTGCAGGCTGGTGCTCAATCCACTGAGCCACACCAGCCAGGGCTCCTTTGAGACTTGATAGCACCAGCTGAATGGTTTATTTTCTTCTCTTCTTTCTGCTCCTCTTCCTCTCTCTCTCTTTTTTTTTTCTCTAGTGCGAGATTCTCCAGTCCCTCTGTACACATTCCTGGTGGCTGGAGGAAGCCTGGCCTTTGGGACGCTCCTTTGCATTGGCATCGTCCTCAGGTGAGATGGGTCCTGGGCATGGCCCAGGGTGTTCTCGTATTTCTTATCCAGCCAGCTTTGCCTGTGCTGGGGTGATGGGTTAGAGAGCCACGGACGATTCGACATATGTTTCAGAGGTAGGATTAACAAGATTTGATGACATTAGATGAAGAGAAGGAAGGAGGGGGAGGAGCCAAGTCTGACCCTGAAGTTTCTGGCTGCAGCAGTTGGGCAGATGGTGGGGTCACTCGCCAAAATTGGAAACACTGGAGGAAGAACCACTGAGTAAAAAACGATGATTCTCGTTTGGGGCCACTGAGTTTGAGGTGCCTGTGAAAACCCCAAGTGGACAGGTTTGGTGGACAGTTCTGATCAGTGCTGTGTGCAGATGGCAGAGGATGGGGACAGGGCCGGTGAGGGCACCTGGTGGAATTCCAGGGTTGCAACCTTGGACAGCTGTGTAGAGGAGGAGGGGCTGAGAGAGGGGCTCAGGGGGAGGAGCACCAGGAAAACCTGGCTGTGAAAACCAGAGGGAGAGTGTTAGACACTGAAGAAGAGCCTTAGGCTCTGGGACTGTAAGATAAATGTGGCCTTTCCTCTCCTCAATGAGCTGCCCACTAAGGTGATTAAGGTACCATGTGAGAGGCACCAATACACACACAGGTAAATCTCAGGTGCTTGGTCAGATCTCCTTGGGAACATTCCCTGTCTCCTCTTGCCATGGTTAGGAAACATGCAGGCCAAGCTGGGGCCCTGGCTGCTGTAGCACTGTGCCCATTTCATCCCACTCCAGCTCTCCATTGGCCATTGGTTTTGCCATTGACTTGCAAGCTTGCAGAAAAACCAGCTAATGGTGCTCCCAATGAATGGTCAGTACAGAAAACTTCCACTGTCCCCAGTTTTACTGCAGAACTTGCCCTTTTGCATGTACTAAAGCCCTACAAGAAGTCAGGCTGTGCCCTGACCTTGACAATGATAATGCAATGAAAGAAAAACTTCTGTCCTTCCTTTCTCTTGCCTCATGTGTAACTTTCAAGAGACTCTCGCTGGTAATTGTGGGAGGTGGTGTTTGTGGGTGTTTGGGGAGGAAGGGTAAGACCATGGTAGAGAGATTTCTGCAGGTGGGCTCACTGGGTCCTCACAGTGACCCTGAAATAGTCTGCCCACAAGGTGTTCTGGGCTGGAAGATTAGCCAATGATGACTCAATGTGTCCAGGGTTGTTTTCATTTTGATTTTCCCACAAAGTGGTGCTCAAACTGACCAAAGGGTGTGCAGAAGATACAGTTCCTCGTGAGCAGAGTTAGCTCCCTGGAGAAGCTGGAACTCGCCGCCCATCACACCTTTGGGCCAGCATTCAGGGGTCCTCTACTGCCTTCTTAGGGGGTCCTTGCTCTTGCCTCAGGCACTTGCTTCTGTGTCCTACTTCTATTTCTACATCATTAGGGCTTCAGTAGGCCTTTCTCGGAGCCCACCACAGACCACGTAGAGTAAATATGATTTCCACTTGACAGATGAAGAGACTAAAGCTGAAAGAGGTGGAGTGGTGTCAGCTACTAATGGTGAGGTCAAGGTCCAAACACAAAGCTCGTGCTCTGTGGATAAGGCATCAGAGTCATTTAGTTGGATTCTTTAATTTTATAAATGAGGAAATAGCCCCAAGAGGCAAGATAACTTGCCTAAGGACACACAGTTTGTTATTAGCAAAGCCAGGGCTAGAACCCACGTCCTGAGAGTCCCAGATAACCACTCTTGCCTGTTGTCGGCTAATAGGTAGATCCAGGTGGTCCTATCAGCCCACCGTTGGCCAGTGGCACCATTTACAAGCAATGCCATGCTGTGAGGCTGTTAATCACTAACAGAGAAGCGTTGTGTTGCAGCTGGTCACAGAGCTCATCACGGACCTAGTTTGCTCATGTGCTGATAGTGCTTGAGCACTGGCTGGTTGCTACACAACCAGGGTCTCTAGAGGCTCCATGCCCTGTGCTAGGAACATATCTGTAATTTATTTCCTAGCCTGGTGGGTTTCCATCTTCTCCCATATAAAGCAAATTTATTTGAGAAGAGGCCAGTTATTTCAAGTGACGAAAATTCCCTTTACTCCCCAAGTCCTTCATGTCAAGAGAAAGGTATAAACCCAGAGACCCCCTGGGAGTCTAGGATTGCCAAAATGGCCCCACTGCAGTGACCGCTGGGACGGCCACACTGCGACCGGCAGACCGAGCGGCAGGTGGAGGTACATCCTGACAGTCCCTGGTACTACATTTTTCTTCTTAATGCATTTGTTTGGTATTTCAAGCAAAGTATGGTATTTTCCAAACTATTTTTCACTAATATCGGCGATATTAGTGAAAAAAAGTGGGCTTCCCAGGGCAGAGAATTCTTTTTCTGTACTTCTGTGCAGAATGGACTGTCACCTAGGTGAGGACTTCCTACATGTATGTACCTTCGATTTAGAGAATTTTGTACTGAATACAGTCTCATTCCAACAGTTCAAAACTGGCAGACTCTCCTGCCTTCATCGGGGGGCAGGGACTCTCAGATGGCCCTGGGGGTGGGGTCCCTTCCCTCTCCTTAGGTCTTGGTTTCTCTGTCTTATTTTATAAAAAGAATGAGAGTTATTATGAATGTTTTTATTTTTCAAACTTTCAGCTATAGAACCTTTTTCTTTAAACAGTCATTCTGAAGTCCAACTATGTAAACTAGATAAAAGGTGGAGGCCGAGGTGACAGCTTGTCTGTCTTTCCTTCTACCTGCCCCGGGCCGTCTCGAGCCCCCAAGCCCTTCCCAGACCCCGGTCGGCGCAGGGCTGTGCCTGTATGGACATGCTCAGGCTGGCTGGTCCGAAAGGCCCTTTGAGCTCAGAAATGTCTCATCGGCTCCTCAAAATATTTCAAGAGTAGAAGAGCTCATTTTTCTCAGTTACTTATCCAGTTGCTTTGAAAAAAAACTGAGGGCGGAGACTGCTTTCCATGTTGGTTAAATAACATCAATAGAGATTTAAAAATTGTGATATTTTATATTTGCTGAATACTGGCCATTTGCCAAGTATTGACAAGGAAAAAAATCATAGATTATGCAAAGAGAGGCACTGTTAATTTTTAAAACGTAAATATGTGGAGGAAGTCTAACAGACATGCAGAGGAGCGTGCACCTCGGGAGTGCACAGCTCCGTGAGTTTTCATGGGCGAGCGTGGCCCTGCCGCGGCACCCAGAGCAAGAGCGCTTCGTAGGTAATGAGTTTCCGGAGTCTGTTCCTCTGCAGAGTTTCTCGTTTGCTTTTATGTAGCTATGATGAATTTTCCTGAACCTAAAACTCTGACTCCTGCCTTTTAAATTCAGCATTAATTACAACATAAGCACATTTCACATCACACAGTCTTTTCTTTTTTTTCTCTTTTTTTTTCACGCTGTCTTTTTGCACCTCACTTTCTGTAGCTGCAGACCCCTCCATCAGGCGATGTGCCCAAGTTCACTTCACCAGCCCCCTATGACTGGGCATTTGGGGGGTTGTCTTGCTTTTATATAAAGCATTGTATTGAACATCTTTGTGCATAAAACTTTTTCCACAGCTAGGTTATTTCCTCACGGCATATTTCCAGAAGTGGAATTCCTGGGCCAGAGAGCTCGAATATTTTGGAATCCAGCATGTAATGACTCTGTCCTCCTCCTCAGGGGGGCAGAGAATTCCATCCAAGGACCCGGCACAGCTCCCGTGGGACCCTGCTGCGCTCCCCTCCTGTCTAGTGCCTGCCTAGTGAAGCCCTCGGGAACATTCTATAGTCGTTTGTTCTGTTGAGATAACAGGCTAAAAGCCACTGGCAGATTTGGTGCCAACTATCAATTACTTATCAAAACAAACACAGGAATAGCCTGTCAATGTAAAAAGAAATCCCCAGGCCTTGTTTTCATCTTTGGTTCCCCTCCTGCCTCCCAGCCCTTCTTGGAGTAGCCCACACTGGTGGGCTTGAGGGAGACCACCTTGCTCTCGCTGTGGGGGGCTGGTAAGTTTAGTCAGTGACAAAGCCCGAGGCAGGAGGGAGGAGAGGAGTCGCCAGTCACCCAGTCAAAGGGCCCCTGAGGAAGGAGACCTGGCTGTACCTTTAAAGATCGCTATCACCATCTTGTCTTTCTCTGGGCAGTCAGGTGACTTTTCACAGCTTTGGGCCCAGAAGGGAGCAGGGTGAGAGAAGCTGTGATCAGAGAGATGTCTATCTCCTTCCTGTTTAACGTTGACTTTCCTGTCAGATGAGTCACTTGAACCCGAGTGGTGCCCGGGGCTGGGCCTTGAGAAGCCCTAGCATGGTGGGAGTGGCCCCGGGGGGAGGGAGTCCTGCACAGGAGGGGCTGCTGGGAGCAAGAGGAGCTGGCCTTGCTCAGGGAGCAGTACGGCCCCTTTCCTGCTGGGAAATCGTGGCTGCAAATTATGTTCCTCCTGCCAGCCCTAATTTCACGGAGAGGCCCATTTCCCTTCCCCACTAAAGAATACACTCTTTGTCTCTTTTAAGTAAATGAATTTGGGGCTGATGTGTGCCTGTGGGCAACCTCTGGAACGGGACAAATTAGGTTCCCGCTGCTGTAAGGAACACTCCTGGCCAGCTCCTCGGAGTACTGTGTAGTGCATGGTGATGAAAGAGCAGGTGACGGAATAAATAGTCATCACTCTTTTGAGCTGGAACCTGGGACTGCCAGGCCACCAGGTGGCCAGCTGTTGGTGTTTTTTCCTCGGGTGCAGCACAGGGGGAGCTAAACATCTGTGTGGTTTATCTTCGTGTGTCTGTGTGAAGGTTCAAGAAGACGTGGAAGCTCCAGGCTCTGAGAGAAGGCAAGACGAGCATGCACCCACCTTACTCTTTGGGACAGCTGGTCCCTGAGAGGCCCAAGCCCACACCAGTGCTTGTTCCCCTCATCTCCCCACCAGTGTCTCCCAGCAGCCTTGGGTCGGACAACACCTCGAGGCACAGCCGACCAGATGCCAGGGGCCCACAGAGCCCTTACGACATCAGCAACAGAGATTACTTCTTCCCTCAGTAGCTGGCTGGGTGGCGTCTGGCAGGCTGGGCTGTCACACCTGCTGAGCTGTGTTGATGACAAAGCACATGCTGGCTTGTCACTGTCATTCCAGCTCAGCTCTGGTGTGTGGGGCCTCTGGCTTCACTGTAACAGAAGGGCCTCGCCAAAGCTTCGACACTGGATGAAAATAGGTTTGCTACACCTGTTCAGAAGGAAGAGGTGGTTGCATTTTTGAACCACCCTTCTCTAAAGGCCTGCTTAAAGGGGTTAGAATGACCTTGGGGCCTATGCAGAGAGGGTGTCAAGAGTCCCCTGGACATTGAGGTGGGCAGAGCAGGGCGGCTACAGAGGCCTCAGACCCCGGCTTCGTGTGGACAAACTGCTGGCCACCTGCACATGTGACACAGCTCTGCAAACTGCGCCCTGAGGACATAGGAGAGATCTCCATCCAAAGACCTCCAGTCGCCTCTTTCCCGGCCCACTGCACGGTTCCATCTTCCAGCTCAGACTCTTGAAACCGAAGTGCCTTCTCGTTTCAGTTTCAGCCTGAGGACGGCTCTTCCTCCACCGCCCGGGCCACGGAAGCTGTCAACTGCCTTTCCTCCCCACTCTGGAAAAACAGCTGAGAGGGGAGGCGAAGCTCAGGACCAGATGGTTTGAAGGGGAATTGTAATTAGTTCCTCATTAGCATTTCTCTAAATGTGAATCTTAGCCCTAGGCACCTGCTGAATCCAGAAGCAACTGCACTGACTCAGTTTCCCTCTCTGGATCCCAGGACTTCAGGAGGAGAGGAGAGAAGCAGAGAGGAAGCAGGGACTCAGGGACAGAGGCTGAAGGGGACGCAACCTCTGAAAACCAGAGTTCTCTATGGCCCTGTCCCTTGCTTCCCCAAAGGGAGAACTGGTGGGGAGTGGGGGGCGCTCCTGCCACTGGTGAGATCAAAATGTTCGATTCCTGCCTGTTTATTTTGTTTTCACCTGAGCCCGAGTGACAGGGAAGAACATATTTATCTGAAAAGACAGAAGAACCCCACAGGAATGTATTTTAATTTGTTTTTAAAAAACTGCTGACTATTCTTCTTGAGAGGATGGAGGGCCCCATCCTAGCTGAGGGTAGGTGTATAAATGACCTGGGGAGAAGCCCAGGGACTCCGGCATGCAACCAAGTTAAGTGAAAAGGGGGAGGAGAAAAAGCGCTATTCCTTTCTTAGAGAATAGACTCTTGGTTCCATTTTAAATTGTGTTTTTTTGTCTTAAAAAGTGAAGAAAATTGCCTGCTTCTTCTCTAATTTGGGAGAAAGCAGCTGTTACTACTCCTCCCTGCCATTGTGAAGGGCATGGTGTCCATCTCCTGGTGGCCATGCCGGGAAGCCTGCTGCCCATGGCTGCCAAGCAGGGTCAGTTGAAAATCCCCACCCCCGACAGCCCTCATTATCAGTGGGAGGGCGGTTCATTGAAAAACCCTCAGTGCCATCCTTCTTTAATTTAGTTCCTTGAATGTGATTCAGTTCAGTTAGTATGGAAGCTCCAGCTAAATGTCTCCTGTGTCGCTGAGACTAACCACTTGAGCTCACTTTTCTGTCCGGGCTCTGAAAATTCATGGATGAGAGTGGTTACCCAGACAAGTGCCTTCATGTATCACGGGTGCCCCAGAATGAAGCTATGATTCAAATCAGTTGTGTAACCACGGACCAAAAATTTACCAGACCACAGACTCTTCTAGTAGTCTACCCTTTTAGAAAAACAACCATCGGTACCAGACAGGTGGCAAAGGATGAAAATGACTGCTTTATTTACTGTTTCTGAGGTTCAGACTGTTACTATCTTGGGCGGGCAGTGATTTTCGTTGCCGGCTTTGTCTGTCGTTTCGGGCCTGTTCCTGCTTCAGGCAGCTCTCTTAAGCTGGCAGATGCCTGGCAGGTGGGGTTTTTTTCTACAAAGTTTCTTTGAGAACAGCAAAAATGCTGTTAAAGGGAAATATTAACAAAATGAAAATCTGCATGAGAAAGGGTGATTCTGTGCCCACGGTTCTTGAACTCTTTATAAAGTTTTACCCACAAGTGCTGTTACCAAAGCCAGGCGGAGAGGTGCTAGTGGAAGATGTGAAATCAGATAACTCATAATTACTGAGAGGTAGGCAGCTTTGATCTCCAAACTGTTTTTGCTTTCATTATTATTGTAACGAAACCACTTTTTTTTTCTGTATTGAAGAGGGTTTTTTCCCCTTTACATTTTTATAAGCTAGTGTAAATGAAGGATAAGTATTTCTCTTCTCTGGGTTGTGGGCTTTTCTCAGTGCACACAGGTATACGTACATCTAAGCTTTCTCTGCCCTCCAATCGATGGTCAGTCACCTGGTGTTTCAACCCGCAGGTCATTCTTACCTGTGTTCTGCAGCTCATGTGCCTTTTATCCTCAACGATGATGTTACTCACCTAATACCTATAGAGATCTGCCACATGGCTAGATGGGAAATGTTGGGATGGTGATAATTTATATTAAACGGGACAGTGTATCCTGCTGGGTTGGAAAAGTTAAAAACATGCTGGTTCAAAGTCTAAACTAAAGTGGTCCTTAATTCTTGTAGCATTAATAGAACGTTTTTTTCCGATGCCGAGGGGGTAGCATTGGCTGCATCTACAGAGCCATGAGGAACTCGGAGAGCCCTTTGTTTTGATGGAGCCCTAGGCCCTGTGGTTTTCTGCCAGGCTCCGGGCTCACTTCATTCTCGTTCCCCTGCTCTCCTGGGGAGAAGGGGAGGTGTGGCTCTGCTGCCGGGCAGGTCTGGGGCGGCGGGGCCCTGGTGGGGAGCAGAGCCCAGGGCAGCAGGCTGGGAGTGACCGCGGTTCCAGGGTTCCCTCCAGGAGAGTCTGGCCCTTCCTGCTTCGGTGCGGGGCTCTGTTGCCTCCTCTAAGGCCTAGTCAGCTGGGGAGGAGTCTGGCATCCAGCTCCCGGCGGAGCTGGTGGGAAATTTATCTTAATTTGGAGACGCAGGGGCAATGGTGGGGCCTTCGGAGCAGGAGCACGGAAGCCAGCTTTCCCACGTGGGCCCTGGGGCTCGGCTGGAAGGCCAGCTGGCCCGGGTGCTGCACCGGACACTGCTGATCATCCCCTGAGTTGGGTCCTTCCGACATCGGCTCCTCTGTGTGGTCTGGTACCAGCACCAGTACATCTCTATGGCAACCTTAATGATTTTGCATTTGCTAATTTTAATTTTTTTCAATTATGGTTGGCATTCTATGTTATTTTGCAGCCTTAATGATACATGAAGAGACATGGTTGGTTTATGGGCACACGACAAGCGGAGACCTGCTCTGGAAGGACCGGGGTGGAGCCGCATGCGGCCAGGCTGCTCACTGAGGGAGAGACCATGTTTGGGTGGAGACCACATGTCTGTTAAATAAATACCTCAACTTTGTATTTTGGAGAGAAATAATAGTTTCAAGCTTGTTTTTATTTTTTTACCTAATTATCTAAAAGCAAATACCAGAGGCTGATGTCTGTATATGGGGCAAAGGGTCAGTATGATATGCTTTTCAATGTTTTTTTTTCTTTTTATCAGCTATTTTACATTTAAAGTGAAAATTGTAAATGTTTGAAATAAAGAATTTCTAAAAATATGCTTGAGGTGTAATTATGTTTGGGGCTCCTGGGTCATTTAAAGGAAGGATTAGGAAGGACTATTTTGGGGTAGGCCTCCCCTTAATGCAGGATGAAATTACCTCTGGAAAAAATCAAATTAGTTTAGCCCTGGCTGGTGTGGCTCACTGGATCGAGTGCAGGCCTGTTAAACTGAAAGGTCGCCGGTTTGATTCAGAGTCAGGGCACATGCCTGGGTTGTGGGCCAGGTCCCCAATAGGGGACACTCAAGAGGTAACCACACACTGATGTTTCTCTTCCTCCCTTCCCCTCTCTCTAAAAATAAATAAATAAACTTAAAAAAATCAGATTAGTTTTAAGAAGTAAGTAGAAGTTTCTTTCTCAAAAGACACTAATTGTGAAAGTGTTTCCCAAAATGAGTCCTGGGGTTTCTGGAAGAGGCGTGGATGCTTCTGCCACGTTTACCATCACCACCAGCCTAGGGACTTGTGGGGGAGGAAACAGAAGGGCCATTATTCACCAGAAGCCTGTTCGTTGGACAGGGGTGTTAACACTATCACAAAGGCAACCCTGCACTCTCCTTGATCATCAAATAGCTTAAATCAGTCCCCTGTTAAAAAGGGTCTCAGGTGGGAAAAACTTGGAGCACAGCCATCCTACATCCCCGAGACAGAGGACAGCCCTGTGGGGCTGCTTTGTGGATAGAAGGGGCTTTGTAAACAGCTCAGGGCTCAAGAGGAGGGAAGTGCAACCGTATGACTCAGACTGAAAGTTGAAGGGTGAGGCCCCCCTGTGTGCTGCCCCCACCCTACCCCAGGGAGAGGAAAGCCACATTACCAAACCTGCAGGACCTATCTCCTTGAGGATCTTTTCTGAGGTTGGTTCCTGTCTTGCAGAAAAGGGGCAGGAGACATGCCCCCCAGGACGTGTGGCTCGAGGAGAAAGTTGCAGGAGTGGGGATGAGGAGCAGGAAGTAGAAGAGGGCGCCTCCCTCCTCTCCACGGCATTGCTATTGGGATGACACGGTTGCGATGCTCTTTCCAGGAGCATTGGGGAGAGCAGATGGTGATTCCTGTAGAGGATGGGAAGGAGCGCTCAGTCAATGGAACAGCCACCGAGGAAAGCATTTTCCTTATTCACTGAGGCACAGGACCCCAGCCCTTTCTCCGTACCTGTGGGAAGTGCAGACCGGCAGCCAGAAACTGCCTCTCTGAAGTAGCACAAGTGCTGTTGGGAGACAGACTGCTGTGTGTAGGGGCCAGGCGCAGGGCAGCCTCAGGCAGAGCGGTGCTAGGTGGGCTGGCTGTGTGGCCTGTCGCTTGAACAGTCATGGGCAATGACAGCCAGCCCTTCATCCTTCAAATACTAGCCAATCCTGGTTTCTTTATGAAAGTTCCTGTCTTCTGCTGATGTATGTCACCTAAAAAACAAAGCAAAACGAAGTAACAGCAACAATTCCTCAGCCTGGTCCTATTTCATACCAACATTTTTTTTTAATCCTCACCCAAAGATATGTTTATTGATTTCGGAGAGAGGAAGGAAGGGGGGAGGGAGAGAGAGAGATGTAAGAGAGAAACATTGATTAGTTGCCTCCTGTGCACACCCTGAGCAGGGATCGAACCTGCAAACTAGGTGTGTACCTGACCAAGAATTGAACCCACAACCTTTTGGTGTACGGGACAATGCTTCAACCACTGAGCCACCTGGCCAGGGCCATACCCTTAGTTTTAGGTGACAACCCAAAACATGAGTAAAATTAAGGGTTTTGGAAAATTATAAAACACTGTAATTTTTCATCAAGGGCGTTTCATCAAAGATAACTTCTAAGTGCTTAATAAAATGGCCCAATGTCCACAGGAAAGCATACCGAGTAATGGGAAGCTGCATTTTCATATTTCACTATGATTTTTTAAGAAATGGGATTTATTGGGAGGACAGTTGTATTTTATTTTGGTCTCTGTTTCATTTTGGTTTCACTGAGGTAGAAATGACATAATGATATGTCAGCGTCGGGCGCCTGACATAATGACTCAATCTTTGTAGAAACTGCAACAAGACGGCCACCACAGTAAAGCCTGGGTAACATCCGCCTCCGTACACTGAACGTAGAAAAGTTTTTTCTTGTGATGAGAACCTTCAAGATCTACCCTCCTAGCTACTTTCAAATGTGTGATACAGTATTATCAATTATGGTTATTATGCTGTCCATTATATCCCCATGAATTATTCATTTTATATTCAGAAACCTGTACCTCCTGATCCCTTTGCCCACTTTGCCCACCCGTCCGGGTCTTCAAATGTGTGTGCTGCACAGTCAACTCATGGTTAACACACAAATGTCTGAGCTGCACAGTCACGGTTTTAAGTGATGAGCCGTCTCAGGGGGACACACGGGCCAGACGCGCTGGAGGGGGAGGTGTCTTCCCCCACTCGCGGACGCACTGGTGTCCGCTGCAGGGACTCCAGCTCCGTCTGACGTGGACTCCAGAACGCTGAATAAGCTCCCAGACGGTTCTGAGGAGGATGGCGACGGCCCCTGGGGGTGACTGTGGATCCTGACGGTTTCCATGACGAGGTGAGCGCTATGAGGGCCTCGCATTCAGGACTTGGCATACCTCGGTGGACCGCGCCTGTGGACAGGTCCCTCTGAATCTCAGTAATGGGTGGTGTCTGTCCTGGAGTGTAAGTCCCTCAAGTTATCCTGCTGTGCAGCTGCTGTGCAGCGGCATGTTACCGTGGGTATTAACTGGAAGACAAAATCTGTGGGCAGCAGGGAGCTACGCCACTGGCCCTGATGGTTACGTAGAAGTCCACAAAACCTTTTTTGGTAGAGACAGTCTATGAAAAGTAGCTAAAAATAAAGGCCGCATTTATTTTTAATAAATGCAGATCATCCACCAGGTGTTTCACAAGCAGGATACTCTTTCTCATCCTAATGATGCTGTGAGGTGTTTTCACCTGTTTATAGAGGATGCCACTGAGGTTCACATTGGAAAAATAGTGGCCTAAGAAACCCAAGCTAATAAAGAGGCTGAACTGGACTTCGAACCTGGGTCTGCCTGACTCCAAGCCTGGCATTCTTTACCCTGCCCTGTGGCCCCTCAGCCACTGGTGGCCTCTTGCCAACCCCTTTCCCAGACCAGGTGCCCTTGCCCTGCGTGGGTGGGGGCCTGGCCTGGCCCACTTTCTCTGGAAGGGAGCTGGGCATGGACTCCTGTTAGTGTGGGAAGGCGCTGGAGTCTGGGCCCCACACGCATATGTCCTGGGGCTCCCATGGGTGGCCCTGAGGCAGCTCATATCACAGGCAGCTGCTCACATTACAGGCAGCCACAAAAAAGATGGGTCACAGAAGGTAGGGACACAACCAATTCCTTGTATGTAATGGTCCAAGATCAGAAACCCAATCAGGCCACTTCCCTTCCATCCATATCAGCCCATATGAACACTTCGTGAATGATGTGGTTTTCCTCTGTTGCTTTCTTGGTATGCATTTCAATGAGCCTCCTTGAAATCCTCAAATTGTGCTTTCTTTATGGCTCGGAGACCTTATCCCATCCACTACCTCTGGAAAGATGAGCAGTCGCCACGTTGTGAGTACTGGTTCCCTCTGGGTGGTGGGAGTCATTCAGGGAGTGTTGACTGAACCACAGTGCTGCCTTTGAGGGTACAAGATGATCTGATAGCTTCCTCAAGAGGCTGGCAGTCCATTCAGTGGGCCACACAGTTACTAGCACATGCTGTCTCTGGGAGCAAATGACTGATATGGTTTGGGGAGTCAGGGAAGGAAGGGGTAGAAATGGGGAGAGCAAAGATGGAGGAGGAGAGTCCAGGCGGAGGGTGTTGCACAGGGAGAGGCTGGCCAAGGGCTGCAGGGAGGAGTGGGGATGGGGGAGGGAAGTCTGCCTTGGATATAGACCACGCTAACAACGTTGCAATGTTCTAAGGGCATTAGGAAGTCACTGCAGACCAGATTTGCTCCTTTTTGCCTTTTAGGCATATCTATATTTTTGCATGCACATGTATGTTTTTACAATTGAAGATATCTTCTTAAATTATATTTTACTGATTATGCTATTACAGTTGTCCCAATTTTTCCCCCTTTGCCTCCCTCCAACCTATGCCCTACTCCCTTAGGCAACCCCCCACCATTGTTTGTGTCCTGGGTATAAGTTCTTTGGCTCCAGGGGTGTCCAACCTTTTGACGTTTTGGGGCTACAATGGAAGAGGAAGAGTTGTCTTGGGCCACATATTAAATACATTGCAACATGCGATCACAAAAAATATCTCAATGTTTCATGTAGATTTATGGCCATCCTGAGCTGCATGTGGCCCGCAGGCCACAGATTGGACACCCCTGCTACTCCCTTTCCTACACTGTCCAGAACATCCCCATGGCTATTCTGTAACTATCTACTCATACTTAATCCCCTCGCCTCTTCACCCCTTCCCCCACACCGCCTCCAAACTGGCCATCATTGAGACCATCTTTGTATCCATGATTCGGTCTGTTTTTCTTGTTTGCTTAGTTTGTTTTTAAGGTTTTATTTATTTATACTTAGAGAGAGGGGACGGGAGGGAGAAAGAGAGGGAGAAAAACATTGATGAGCTAGAGATACATGATTGGCTGCCTCATGCATGCCCCCAACTGGGGACCTGGCCCATAACCCAAGCATATGCTCTGGGAATCGAACCAAAGACCTTTTGTTTCACAGACTGGCACTCAATCCACTTAGCCACACCAGCCAGGGATGTTTTTAGAGTCAATTGTTGATAGATGTGTATTTATTGCCATTATATTGTTCATAGTTTTGAGCTTCATTTTCTTTTCCTTTACTTTAAAAAATATATTTTATTGATTATGCTATTACAGTTGTCCCATTCCCCCCTTTTATTCCCCTCTACCCTGCACACCCTCTCTCACCTGCATTTCCCCCCTTTAGTTCATGTCCATGGTCATACATATAAGTTCTTTGGCTTCTACATTTCCTGTACTAATTTTAACCTCCCCCTGTCTATTTCC